AGTAAAAGGAAGAAATACCTTGCTTACCCCATCTGGCAGAAGGCTTTTCTAAGATTTATCTCTATATACAGTGAGAAATCTCCATTGGAGGCCAATCAGTATATTTATGTCGGTTATACACCAGATGAAAATTGAGAATAGAAACTGGGGAAAATATGACCGCAATTTTCGGGCTTATAGACTGCGCATGGTCATATGTGGATTTTGCACTTCAAAATGAACGCCCGACTTTGCCGTGGGGTAGAACAACATTTACGAGTTCATAAAAAGGGTGATTTGACGGGTAAGCCTAAACAAAAGAATGAAATAGCCTCTTCTACAAAAAGTGATGAAAAAATCTGTACCCCAGGGTTTGTGATACCCTTTGCAGGGGAACCTCCTTTACCTGAGACTGGAAATTTAAAGTCCACGATTATTTATGAAGATCAACTCAAGGTCAAATTAGATTCCAAGCTTGAGAAGGGCATATTGATGGGACCTTAGGACACTAAGTTTAGTCATTTCTCCATTAGGTTTAGTACCTAAGAAAGCAAAGGGGAGGTTTCGCCAGATTACCTATTGCACTGTGGGAGTGGGTAAGCTTCACTTTCCTTATTAGACTCCAGATTGAAAATTGCTTTTGCCTGTATTCTTATTCTTATTAGCACGTTTTCTCAGTAACTAGAGGACTTGGAGTAAATCTAATTACATGGTCAGTTAGGCTATGTGACCTAGTTTCTGGGAAATTAGGTCAAATCTCTATCTAGGTCAAAGGTCAAAATTTAGGTCAATTTTTCCAATTTCACAAAATTTCAATTTTCTTTTTAATCTATCATTATTTCTTGCGATGAATTAATTTATAGTTCCCTCTAAGTATTTCAAACATTTTGCTCACTCTATGAGCTGAAAATTTTACCAATTTTGAGAAAGTCCACTCCAAAAAAAGGGTGAATTTCAAATTGTTCCAAATCTATTAAAATTAGTCTCAATTCAACAGAGAATTTGGTCAGGATTCCGAATCTGAAAACAAAATTGTGATCCAACTTCCAGTCCAGGAGTAAACACATTTTGAAATTTCAAAAAAATTATATGATGGTACCCTGATGGCATGTCTACCTGACCGTTAATTTTCTCATTTCTCATTAATATCAGAGATCAAAATCTACCTGTAATAGGAAATTTTCTCAGGATTCCGAATCTGTAAACAAAATTGAAATCAGACATCCGGTTCAGGAGCTATGGCCTTTTGAAATCTCAAAAAATCCCTACCGCTGCCACCAATGTAGCATCCTGATGTTAAGTCAATGGTAATCAATAGCCAATTATCAAAAATTCAGTAAAATTTTGAGTGCTAGGGGGCAAGGTCAAAATCTAGGTCAATTTTGTTAATTTTGAGATTACCTTACTATTGATCAAATTTTGCTTTTAAAGTTGTGACGAACATAAATATTTTCTTTAAATTTCACTTTCTCATCTATATCAGATGTCAAAATCATTTTATAAATAAAAAAATGGAATCTGGAGTCTTGAATTGAACTTGTTCAATTTCTCCAATCTAGTTATTCCTTAAAATTGGTTATTTTAGTTATTTTACTATTACTCATTGGGGGCCCAAATTTTAAGTCATCCGTAAAATTTCATCGATTGTGCGAAAAAAATGTGAAAAAAATAAAAATTTAGGGCCCATTTTTTATAATTAGGCCTAAAAAGGGCAAATTTTGCCTAAAAAGGCAGTTTTGTATTGGGTGTTTTGAGGCACAATATGAAAAAAAACTAGACATGTAAATTGAACAAGTTCAATTTAAGACTCCAGATTTCAGACTTTTCTTAAGCTCAGTCATCCAGAATACTTGTAAGCTGAGTCATTCTGAATAAGCTGAGTCAGCTAGAAAATAGACATTTAGACAACTCTTAAGTAGGTTATCTTTTGACTCCATTGACAAAACATGGGTATATCATCATATCGAGTTTTCGAGACTTCAAGCCACTATAACTATCTAACCAGAAGTTGGATCGACATTTGGTTTAAAGATTCGGATTCCTGAGAAAATTCTACCCTTAATTCATAACTCATACGTTAAATTTGGAGAACTTTTTATTTTGACCCATATTTCAGACACCATATCTCAAAAGTGGGTCAAAATACTTTCTGACGGCAAAAGGCAAACACTATTAGCACACTTTTTGCTACCTGTATACAAAATTTTGAAGCAAATCATTAAAGTGTAGTGTTAGAATCGTAAAAATAAGGGAAAACTATGAATTTTACCTAGATTTTGACCTAGGCATTTTTGTTTCCAAATTTTGAAGCTAGGTAGCTTTTTAGGTCCCCTTATTTTAGAGGCATCCATTATGTCAGGCTGTTCTCAGTCTATATCTTGAATTTTACACTTCAAAAAAGTCTTTTTTCTCATTGACTTAACATGGGGCACCAAATTTAGCTATTTTTGAGATTTCAAAACACTATAACTTCCGCCGGAAGTTGGATCGAAATTTGGTTTGCAGACTTGGATTCCTGAGAAAAGTTTACACTTATTTCATGACTCATAAGTTGCATTTGGAGAACTTTTTCGTTTGACCTACTTTCCGGACGCAATATCTCAAAATCGGTAGAAGTAATCAAAAAACGGATTACTCACAGTTGAATTGTCTTTTTATTGGCTACACGTCAAAATAAAATTTTGAAAAAATATTGAAAAATGACAAAGATAATTGACAAAATTATAATTTGACCTAGATTTTGACCTTTGACATAGATAGAAATTTGACCTAACTTCCCAGAAACTAGGTATCATACCCTAACTGACCATGTAAATAAATTTAAGTTCTTCTAGTTGCTGAGAAAAAGTGTTCAGAAAGAATAAGAAAACTGGCAAAAGCAATAGACTCCAGATTTTCATTCTGGAGTCTAACTACTAACCCTGGTAGGCTACTTATGTTACATGTAAGTGCCCAGTCACCCAGATTTTTACACAAACCATCATGTTTGGTTGATTTCACCATGGGATGAAAGGATAGTATCAACAAGCAACAGGATTGGCAACAGGAATGAGAAAAAATACCTTTTTTCTTTCCTGAACTTCGCACGATGGTGATCCCGTGCAAATCACATGATCAATTTTATCTCAAAGATGATTATATCAAAGAAAATTACTTACTCAATGCAATGGATATATCATTTGCAGGTAACTTTCACTTCTGTTTGAAGTCCCATAGCGCTAGGATGAAAAGCTATTGAAAATGGTGTCAGAGTATCATACTCCAATCCAAAATGTACTATTTCTTTTTTAACTTTTTAATGGTTCGATATAGTGACGTGATAATATTTACATATGTTTTCACCGTAACTCTGAAGGTATTAATGAGATATTGATGTATCGGGTCTTTTAAATAATTAGCATAACATATGTTAATATTATGGTGTCACTATATCATGCCATTTAAAAGTTAAAAAAGAAATGGTACATTTTAGAGCTTTTAGAGCATTTTATGATCTTCCCTGCATCTTTTTTCATGGCGCAGCGCCCACTTCAACTGAAAACTGTGCTTATCATGTGCCTACCTCAAACTTTGCCCCACTCCCAAACTCTCTACGCGAACTTCACATTATACTGACCAAAAAGTGAAAAATGTCAGAAAAATAAAATAATTTCACATTTTCTTTGCATTGCTCCTGTGCTTGTATTAAGCATGCGAAACTAGCTTTCAAAATCTGTTGTGCATATCCCCTGGTCAATATGTTACTACTATTCATTCATAATTCATATCAACATGTGACTTTCAGTCCATATATGGCGAAAAGGGTTGGCATTCGATGCAAACCTTTTGAATTACTTTTGGGTTTACCAATATAACAGGCAAGATTATCTGTATCGAATATGGGCTCCTGGGCCATCCTGGAACAAAGCTAAAATCAATCAAGAAATGAGCGACATGTAATCACTCATCAACATGTAAAAACCTGTAACTTTCACGCTAACCTGTAAAAAGTCGACTAATCGGACGTCATTTTCCTGCACACACATAGAAGTACACATTCATGCTTTGTTGAATACGCATCTGTGAATTGAACCAATATGATTGATTACCCCATGTAAAAACCTGTAAACTTCGTGCTGGGCCACAGGAAATAAACAAATCTGACGTCATTTATCTGTACGCGCATTGAAGATCACGTTCAAGTTTTGTTAAATGCAAATTTTCAATTCAATTTGGGTTCAAAACTGTATAAAGAACTACTGAACTATGTACACAGATTATATATTTTTTGTATTACATGTAGTTTTGATTTTTGAATATTTTTATTTAAAAATATAATATATTTGTAAATATCATATTTTTATTATAGCATCAAGTAATGGCAAGAGCAGAAGAAACCCACTTCTACATCATTAATGGAAAATACCACGGAGTGTTAAATGAGGATGATCCACCACAGTAAAGCTTGCGTCCAAGACTCTAGCAGACATTGGTAAGCCCAAATGCGTTTGCTTATGTTAACTTATTTGTCTAAATATCATAAAATAATTCAGTATAAATCTAAATTGCGGAAATTAATCCTATTAAAAACTCATTACAGAGAGTTGTTCCATCTGATGTCAAGTTTTGCTATATTATCAATTCTGGTTGTTACCACTTATAGTTGTACAATATAGAGCCATAAGTGATAATAAATTAAAAAATTGTACATGTATTCCTGAAAATTCCTGATTATTTTCAATAATCACTGCGCTGTCATCACAACATATTGCTTTGTAGGAACACCTTTTCCTAGGCAAGTATTCAAAGTACAAGTACAAGTAGACGGTAAATTTAATAGAAAAACATCCGAGTTAATAGCCTTCAAATTTGTCCTGAATAGTCTCCATGTCAATCGAAATATTAACTTAATCAGCATTTTGCAGAAGATTGGAAGGATCAACTACAAGTTGTGTACAATAAATCATCGGGAAAATTTAGATCTGAATTGAATAAAATAGTTCATGCATTATTGACCAAGGGGTACACCATGCAGACATGGTTACCGACATATTTCCAGACATATGTAAGGCAGTGGATGAATGTGATGAATCGGAAATTACTTAGGAATTCTTTATGTTGAGTGAGGAGTGGGGAATTTGCGATGAGATTACTGTAACAGAAAATAGTCAACGACATGTATGTGAAGAGCAGTGTCCTGTTTTTGTAAATTATTAAGTACATGTAATTGAAATGGAACACACAAAGACTTTATCAATAAGGAAGATACATGAGAAACTTTTGAGGCAACCAGAGTTGGATTTATTTCAAGTATTTTTTTCAATTATTCCACTAAATCAAGGTAATATTTTAACCAATCGAAATGCAATCAAAGGGAAATGGTGCCGTATAATGAAGAAAGTACTTAGTAAAAGTAGAGCATCTGATAAAGAAAAACAGGAACAGCTTTTAAATGGATTGATAACTCTCGAGTTTAAGCACCAAATGAATAAAAATCTTAAAACTGTAAAAAGTAGTGAGATATTTGAGAAAAAGAAGTGTACAAATAAGAAGTCTAAGTGGTCCTCTGACACTGAATTGATCAAACAATTTAAGAGAAGTGTCATTAGGCTAAAACTACAACTTAGCAAATGTAAGAAAACCTTAGCAGAGGTCAAGTTAGGTAAAAATCAAGTTAAGGAACAAGTCAAGAAAGATAAGTAAATCAAAAAATGAAGAACTCTTAAGAACCAAAAATGAACGTCTCAAGCTAAAAGCAAAAAATAAGAAACTAAAGAGACTTTCAGCTTTACAAACAGAGAGTGCAGCCCATCTTAACAAAGTTAATTATGAACTTGAGCAAGACATAAAATTACAAACAGAAAAAATGAAGAATTAGAGGAGAGTGTAAAATATTTGGAATCAAGGATTGAAGATCAAGAATTAAAGAATGTATCATTAATGGAAGAGGAAACTAATACTTGCACTCTAAACTTTAAAGAGACAGTTATGAATCTGACTAATTTAAAAGTACCGACACATAATGTGACTCGAAGTAGTGAAAGAAGTTGCAAAGTAATGTAATGTTACCTTAAAAGGCTAAATCCCAAATAGATAGATAGAATATCCTAGATGAGAGAAGAAATAATCTTGATTAACGTCATTAAAATTCACAATTCAGTTAAACTGATGTCATATTTGGAATCTACGTGTAAAATCACATATAAAATGTGGTTTTGAAAAGAGTTTATCATCTTTGAAAATTCAATTCTCTTTGAAAATGTGACTTCTAGGTCGGGGAGATTCCCTATAGACCCCATGTTGTAAAACCACAAAAAGTCAAATAACTTTTCTTGTGTTGGGCAGATAATATTTTCTTTTACTGGACATATTTTAATTTGTATAACTATCACATACATAAGGGTAATATGAAAAGTGAACCACTAAAACTGATGAATATTCAAGTTTAAGGGAATTTTGTAATACCCTGCCATGTAATTTCCCCCGAATCAGCCAGCTGGTGGCGGAACTGGTAACTACCTACTCGCATCTGAGTAATTGCAGACAGCACACTTGCAATATGCCAGCAGCAACTTGAAACTATTAAGTCAAAGAACACTACTCTGTATTCTGACGTAACTCCGAAACATGGTCGCTGCTTTGAAGTATTCTCACTGACTGATGATGACCAACACCCATATGTTCTTGGGTTGAGGGAAAAGGGAGACAAGTCTGCCTTAACAGTTAAAGAAACATCTAAAGAAATAATAGAAGACATTAACAATATGTGGATCTAACTCTGGTAAAGACTATGATGTTGGCTTTCAGATACTTCGGAATATCAAAAATACAATGGCTGAGCCGCCACTGAGAAAAAATTTAAAAAACACAAATAAAGAGGATGCTTCAGGACTCCTAAGTGGTGAAAATCTGCCTTTCCCAAATGATATGAAGAAAGATGATGTAACACATGAGCTTTTCAAGCCATGTGAGGTCACAGATGATCTCACTCAAGCAATGCTCCAGGGCTTATGTGTAGCTATCCATGATGTCTTACTTAGGATGGTCACTGATCATTTTCCAGGTGCCAAATTTTCTTACGAAGCAGCTAAATGTTAGCTTGGTTGGTTTGTCGGTTGTTTGCTTGCTTTATTTGTAAGTTGCTTGGTTTGTTTTTTTACTTGCTCAATTTTCTGCTTGCTTGGATGGTCGTTTGCTTGGTTGCTTGGTTGGTTACTTGCGTGGTTGGTTGCTAAGTTATTTTTTGAAACTTTTGAAACGTAGCCAAGGAGGGGTGGGGGGGGGGTGCGAAAACAATAAAAAAAACGAGAATGAGGACTGAAAGAGCTTTAAAATGCTTTTTATTTGAAGCTTCTAGCTCACTTTGGAAGGAACTTGCATCCAGTTTTTGTAAAATTCAATATAAAAATCATTTTTGGCTTGTTTATGTCACAATCGCACCCCCCTGTTTATCTCACCATCGGCCCCCCCCCCCCCCCCCGACTGAAAACCGAAATCATTTTGGAACGCACTCCCCCTGACTGAAAGCTGGCTACGCCCCTGATATCTGTTTTTGGCCATCAATAAACTATATTTATATTGTGAGCATTTATGGGTTTTGATAACAATTGGCTTTATACATGTATAATTAATCGAATTTCATATTGTATCATGTTGGCTAAATCCCGGGGCTATATTGTTTTAAGTGAAGAATTAAGAACTGAAAACAGGGTTTGCTTAGTTTGAGTCAGGGAACAAAATGTAATCAGACAGACGGATAAATGAGTATTATAGGTTATAGGCAGTACCTTGGGAACCAAATAAACGTGTATAGGATTATTTTTTGTTTACTTCGGAATTGAGTGAGCCATCTGTAGTTTTAAAAAGAAAGATCAATAAATACATGTAATCAAGATCAAATATTAGAAATCTATTTTTGGCTGGACAAATTTTTGTTCTCGAATGTCAAGCAGAACCTTCATGTTCTTTATTCATTTGGAACTTTGATTTGAATTATTTCAATCAAAATGAAAATAATGTTACAAGTGCTCTACTTTGGTGATAAAAATAACTGGATCATATTGAACGAGGACAAGTACATATGTTTCTATTTTTTATATACTGTTGCAAAAGTCATTGGATTGCTTATTTTTTAAACTCAAAGTAGTTCCCAGGGCTCGAAATTAGCGTAGCGAGGGTGCGATTTCGCTACCTAATCCTGCCAAACGCTTCCTGTTTAACTCCCGAAGGAGCTATTATCACACCCTGGCTCAAACCTCACTTTATTTCAACTAAATTTGACGATTTCTTACGATCTGTTTTGATCAAACTTGAATCAGATGACTTTGTTTATCCGCCTCGTTTTGAGTAAGTATTCCGAACGTAATTTGAAAGACTGGAGTTCATTGGTCGCATTTACAGATAAAAGTTTGATAAGCCAATCAGACAGTCGATAACTAATTGGAAAAGGGAACTATTTTATCGTGGAAGAAATGAATGGAATCGTAGTACATATATAGTATAAAAGATGTCATGCGATATGTTTGACCAATAGGCTTACAGAGATACACGCATAAATATTCATGAGTTTCAAGATGGCGAGTAATTCATTTACAAAATACAGCTTCACCATTTCTCAAAAATTTACCGTCAAAGGTAAATATCCTGCTTAAATTAGTAGCTAATCATTTACTTATAGAAACATAAGACAAGCCTCGATAATTCTTCGGTGAATTAAAGCTTCAGGATAACAAGTTTCAAAATCTTCAATTTTTGAATTTCTCCCGGAATTTAGCTCCGTAAGCAGACTACTTTTTCTACAATCAACTAAACGGGGATACCAATTTAATTTCACGGTAAATTATGCAGGAATTTTACTATCGTAGTATTATTTTTTACAGATGGCGCGGGATCGAGCAGTATATCTCATTCGAATTCTGGTACCCAAAAGATAGCTGATAGCTGAATAATGATCGAGAAAATCCAACCGAAAGAGCCCCAAGTCCTGTGATTCAACTACAACTCCATGATGAAAATCCGGGTGAAAATCCACCCCCAAATCAACCTCCAAGTCCTGTAATTCAACTAGAACTTATTGCTGAAAATCTAAATATTGATCCAGATCAAGATAATCCCAAAAAAAACTCAAAAAGAAAAATCCAAAAACAGTGATAATAGCAGATGGCAATGTCAATATACTAACTGTAAAATTATTCAAACTTTGAAAAACTGGAAATACCAGGACCACTTATGCAGTTGCCTCCCTCTATCAACTGCTGCAGTAGAGAGAGGATTTTCAAATTTAAAAAGATGGAAGATTGTAGCAAGGTATAATGGCCCAAAAACAAAATGTGTCATCCAGCCAATCATCAGGCAAGATGGCACGATAGCTGTGACCGACAAAGAAATCACAGAAGCTTTTATGGTCAAATATGGAAATGAAATTATGTCTGTCCAATCTCATTCAATATGGTACAACTATGTTGAAAACACAGTTGAGAGAATTTTGACAACACAAAGAGCTATTATTACTGAAACGAACTATAGCAAAACTTGTGAAATAAAAAACATTGATCTGAATTTATATGAGATTGAGAATGCCATAAAATTGGTTATATATATTTTACAAGTGGATCCAAGAGACCAAGTGGGCAAGTCCATTATTTTGCAGTGGTGGCAGGATATACACATCATACTCACATTGCCTTATTAAAGAAAACCTTCTAAAAGTTTAGTAGACTAGTCAATAAATACCAGATCTGTAAATTCCGAAATCAGAAGCGAATTCAATAAAAACCAGATTAGAATGCACAAATACAAGATCACAGATTTTTTCAATCAGTGCAAGTATTGGTGTGCTGAAATACTTCATTTTCGATCAAGACTTGTTAATTGTTCATCGAGTGAATGTTTTTTCGACCCATTTCCAATATGGCGGTTTGCTAGGAGCGAGATACGCAACGAACGAAATGAATTTTGAGAATGATTAAGGTTCGGACAACCTCCGGATGTCTGAGCAGAAAACACCATATTGGAATTTGGTAGTAAAAACATTCACCATTATTCAGCTGTCCATTTCCCCGTTTGAGAGCCATAAGTTTCAAAATCTAACAAGGCTCTCGAAGTGAGTAAATTTGAGGCAGTTTTGATCAATTTTGCAAAGGGTTAATTTGATTCTCATCTGTCTCAACAAAACAGGAATATCCCAGAATTCATACAGGCATACATCTCTTATGTTAACTATATCATTGATTGGGAAAGGGTTCATCTATAATCCTGGGAAATGACCTCTTCTGGACGTAAAGCATGGGAACATCTGATATGACCAGTTCACATGGCAGTGTGTCACCTGTCATTTCTCTGGAATGATGTACACTTTCCTCCAAAAGATTGGAAACAATTGTAGTACAGTAAAACCTGTATATCTGAACACTTGGCTAATCCGAAAACCTCCCGATTTGAACATTTTTTGGTCCCGTTTTTCCTCCCATTGACTCAAATGTTAAAAAAACCTTGAAATGTGAACACCTCCCAATTTGAGCTGTGAACAGTCGTGTTTGAAAAATTAACCTATCTAATCTGAACACTTTGGGTTTACGTAAAAGACCGACCCCACCGACCACCGACCGGTCGGTGTTTTCCACTGGTAGCCTCAAAACAGGGTTTGAAGAAAATGTGTAAAAGACCGACCATATCATGTAAAAGACCGAACATATTTGTAGCCTTAAAATATTAATAATTTGATTTTGAATGTCAATCGTTGGGACTAGGCAACGGTTTTTACCGATTTTGTACCTTGCAACGAATGGCAAGCAAACAAATTGGGCATGACCGTCTCCTCTCGATTAATTGTCCTGCCTTAGCTCCTAACCTATCATTAACCAACCTATCGTTTCTACGGGAATCTATCCTAATTTTTTTACTAAAATTTAACAATTTCGAAACAAAAATGATTTGTTATCGTCATAGCCTACTGAATACTGAACACGATGTAACATGCGTTCTCTTATCGGGATTAAAAGTGACTTACCATTTCAGTACACCATTAGAAAGCTTTTTTTGTCATACCAAATGTAGTTTTTACCAGTTGACGTTTAACAACTGAGAAATCAAACATAACGTTATGACGTCAACTTCGACGATGTGTTTTTGTTATTGCGTTTCATATGAATGAACTTAATGCAATGTTACGTGCGTTTTTTTCAAAAGTGACTAACCAGGATGAAATTGGTCTTCTAACAACTGAAACATCACTTAAAAATATGACATTACACACCACGACGATGTAACGTTTTCATCGTGATTTGAAATGATTAATTATACGTTTTTAAATCACGACCTAGCAAAGGTACTATAGTCATTGGATTCCCAGTTTTAGTTTTACTTCTAATTTTGCATTTTTTCATCTTTATGTAAAAGACCGTCAGCCGACCACCATGTACCCCCGGGGGGTTCACTATATATAAACCTTGACGGGGATCCTCGGCGCATGTGGGGTACCTTTTTCAACGTTTGGTATGGCAATGGACCTATATTTTAGGATTTGGTATGGGAATGCCCGGAAATTTTTGACTTCTGAGGTATGGCAATGGTCAGACTTTTGCTCTTCTGGTATGAGAATGGTCGTTGTAGATACGTTGCCTAACATTCGTGGTATGGCATTGGTCCAGTAGTTCCTTTGTATGACATTGATCCTATATTTCATTTACTTTGAATTAAGGTATGGCATTGGTCCCATATTTGGACATTTGGTATGGCATTGGTCCTATATTTTGATTTTTGGTATGGCATTGGTCCCATAATTGGGCATTTGGTATGGCATTGGTCCTATATTTGGACATTTGGTATGGCATTGGTCCTATATTTGGACATTTGGTATGGCCTTTGGGCGTTATTTTGGTTGGTATGGGAACATATTGAAATTTGACAGATTGGTATGGGAACATATTGATATTTGAGGCTTCAGCCTAGGACCCCCGTCGAGTTTTATATACAGTGAACCCCCCGAGCATGTACCCAACTGTGGAGAGTGACTGGTCGGTGGTCGGTGTTTTCCACAAACCCGAACACTTTTCATAAAATATCACATGTTCCATACAAAATTTCTCAAATACATTTATTTGAAAAAACCTTAAATGATCTCACTCAAGGTAGGGCTTTCTAGGATGACTAAATTCATTTGAATCAGATTTTCATGTCACTTGAGTGTAATGCCATAAAGCTATGTACAGTGCTATATATAATAATAAAGGTTGCGTTTTCAAACTTAACAGAGTGGTCCTACCAAAATGAATTTGCCTACATACCCCTGAAACTCTTATCTGATAGATAGAATGCACAAATAAAACAAAAGTTTTGCCTATTATAGGTAAAAAGTTCTCTTGAAATTTCGAAGTGATTTTACCTGTTAATTCTGTCGAAGGTCCGCCATTTTTGCGGAAGTTACACTGAAACGCAAACTCCATGAAACGAAACGAAATCACTAGACAAAAAACATGGCCCACGTGCGCATGTGCAGCAAAGTTTAAACCAATCAGATTATTTGATTATTTTGCGCACATGAATTATTTGCTTCTGAGCACTTACAAGCTTACCACAATAAACAAACCTGGCAGAGACTACCCTTAGCCTACTTCATTTTGGCGAAATTTCAGCTCAAACTCGTGACAAATGCATTATGCATACGCTGGTGAGAAGCCTTGAAGACACTCATTTTGGTAAATATGATTTATGGGGTATACTTTTCTGCAGTTTGTGGGAGTTTGGGACATTAAATGTTAAAATTCAAGAAAATATGACAATTAAACGACTAATCGATTAATATATACCAGCACTGTAGTCAAATAAAGCTATGTAGTCAAATAAATATTTATTGAGAATTTGTTCCTATTTCTTCAAAATCCAAAATCTTGCAAATGCAAAACCTCAATAGAGTAGACGCATGTGTTTACTGGGCAAAGATCTTCACTAAAGAGGTGTTCATTATGACAGTTTTACTGTTCTGAAATCAATCCTGGGAATTCACTTTACAAAATTGAAATGTGTGTATCATACCACCCCTGCAATATAATTAACTCGCCCACTTGGTCTCTTGGATCCACTTGCAAAATATATATAACCCATAAAATCATGTGCCAATTACTCGTCACCGAGCCCTAGGGAAAAGATACATAGCATCATGTTAAAAAATGGGGGCAGTGCTTTGTCAAAATCACTTCATAATCTTTTTCAAACCTGGGTCTAAAGGCGTATTGCCAGCAAAGTTTTGCAAGCCAAGCTAGAATTTTGAATCGGACTGTAAAAATTGAGCTTGAAGAATTACCTGTTTCAACGAAGCTTTCAGTCAGTCTTCATCTTCCATAAGGCTATGACCAGTGGCACATAATAACGAATGGACTGCAACTACTTCCTATTGAAAGAAAAGTGGTTGTTCGGTGTAAAATCATTATAATACTCGAAATCAAACATCATGGGTTGATAGCGCCTTAAGTCGGGCGTCTCTAAAATTAAGAATCAAAACGGAATCACTGTCTGTAGAATAAATTGGATTCAGCGCTTTCGAATTCGATCTTAGGGAGCATTTCAAAAGATCGATATAGGAAAATTAACTATTAGTTAGAGAGGGAGGGGGTCATTTTCCTTAAAAGTTAACGCGTCGACATCATACCCGGGAATTTTCTTAGTGTATTATTACTTGAATGAAGCAACAAGTGTCGGGTTTGTGTAAAAAACCGGGTGACCGGGTAACCGGGTACTAACGTTCCTAGCAGGGTTAGGAATTTATAATGTTGGATCTGGACAAAACATGTGCGTTATTTTCGACGTCACGTTGAGGTTATTTCACATCGTAAGAACGTTTTGACAACGTTAACTTTGAACGTTAAAATAACGTTGGTAATGGACCGATTTAGTGAGAACATATTGACGTCTTTGTAACGTTTCCTTAAATATTTTGAAGCCATTTCCACAATGTTGAAATTCAACCATCCATCGACGTTTTGCTGAATATTTAAATAACGTCAGATCAATACGGTCCATGAACTTCATTATTGACGTCACGTATTGAGGTTATTTCAAATCGAAAAAACGTTTCGACAACGTTAAATTTTAACGTTAACAATACGTCGGAAATGAATCGACTTAGTGAGAACACAAAGTTTTTGACATGTTTTTTTCCACCAACAAATATTTTGATATTAAAAGCCTGTTTTGACAACGTTGAATGTTAACGTTTGAGTTACGTCACATATAGACCAATGTAGTAAAAAATCAAACGTTCCTGTTTGTTATGTTTTCCACACTAACGAACTTTACGGACACGTTACAACAACGTTATTTTTATACCATCAATAGATGTCTCATGTTTACGTTGCCTCGCATGTGTAAAGAACGAAAATGTGCAACGTCTTCTAGGAACTTATATGCTACTTATGAGCAACGTGACATGGACGTCACTGTTTCCTGGATCAATTATCAAGTGCTCCGTCTCGTATAGGGTAAAAATATCGAAATTTCTGCGAATTCGTTACGGTATTTGAAAAATGTAGTAACTCAGTAACAACTTGATGTCGTAACTCTGAAAAGTGAAAAATACGGACATAATCGGAAA